GTTATGAGAACCAATATGTTGTTTACACTAAACTCGAAGGAAGCTAGACTGGAACATTTTAAATACATCAAAATACTTGCACATTAATTAAATACATTTGACATTTAGCTCGAGCTGGGTTCAATACTTTTCTTTATGGTATTTAAAATTGGGCTCGAGTAGAACCCCTGGGTTTGGCTTGCAACACAAAAGTGATACTGATCTCTGTAAGACTTGGAAGTGTCAAAGTGTGGGCCTGTGAAAGGGAGGCCCTTGGAAAACAACATCTATTTTTTTTAACTGTAATTACTTATTTTAAAGAGATTGTAACATTATACTTTTAAAGAATTGCTCAATTAATTTAACATTTATTATGCACACAATAAAAAACGTCAACAAATATATTGATCCTGGCTTCACCAGCGACCTTTACTCTGTTGTTCATAAGCTCGGTTTCAAAAAACTTGTCAGTAGTTTAACAACTATTTTAATTTTAGTAATGTCTATGGAGACCAATTGGTTGATACGAGAAATAATTTGAAGCAGTTGAATAAAGAATGTTAAACTATTTTTAAAACTGTGATTGAACTTCAACTTATATTAATTATCTGATTCCAGTGGCCAGTTGGAACAGATAATCAACAAAGTTTCCATTTTGCAACAACAGCGCAAAAGTTTTCAACAACAATTAGTAGTCTGAGTCTAGTTCTGTCTTATCTGCTTTGTTTCGGAATGTGTTCAATACATTACGTTTTTATTCATTATTACCATACAATATATAGATTTAAGAATAAATTAAACAAATAATAGAACATTGACCTAAAAAAACAGATTTTGCAACCCTGATCTCCTCCGGCAGGTCTCTGAGGGTCTCGGGGCGCAGGACGGGCATAGGGTTTATACAAGGTCACAAACATATCTTAACATTCCAGCAATACCATTTAAGAATGGATTCTTAAAGCAATATAATCTATTTTCTTCTTACACCTAGCGCTCACCCTGAACAGTGGGCTTCTTGTTTACATTTTCCCCTGCACACTCAGAGGCAGGACATAAAAACACTCTTTTGCTATTTATTTTCATTTTGCAGCACATTTATACGACCAGAATTTTGCTTTACATCTTTATATTATTTATTTTTCTCAAGTCATTTACTTTTGGTGAGATAACTAAAGTTTTGTTCATTTTACCCTGTCTATGGACTGATTCATTATTAGTTGTTACAAAACATACACAAGACGGCGGGACAAACCAATATAGACCCCCCCATACAAACAATCAGACAAACAAAACATGAACTCGTAATAAACACCAGCGTGACCGCAAAGCTCATCCAGCTCAATTTAGTCCGAATTATAAGGTTTTCAGAGGGGGTAGGGAATTATAGAAATGGAGCACCTACTCGCGCATCCACCCTTGTACAAGTGCTAAGATCGTGCCTGAAGACCGTCCAAAAGCGATAACTAGCTTATCCTCTTGCGACACCACTAGTTAGTGGTGCTATGATCCCCCGACCAGGAGAACATAGACTTTTTTTTCTCTACCCTTTCTCTCCAAAAACAGCACAGTTAACTGTAGTCCTACTCGACCAGCCTATACACTTGCCATCGAGTTCATTTGCAACGATGAAACACAGTTTTGTTCTACACTCTGCTTGCCACTGCCCCACCCGTGATCAATTAGCCTATAATTTTATGTATGCACCCCGGACCGCCACCAGGTCCTCTAGCCATGTATAGGGAGCTGTGGCGCATCGGGTGATGCACGCATCTCGCGCTGCCCGGCCTTGCCAGCAATGTAGAAGACGGTCACAAACAACGAATGCTTTTAGACCATTTCGTTTTTAATAGAGATGGCGGTGGTGTGAGTTAAAGCCTATAGACAAAAGCTGTGACTTTCTCCCTCTCAGCCTGCACTGCTCCAGCCCCACAAACACGGGGAGGTTTTACACACACACACCCGCGGCTGCCGCTGGAGCCGTGTTTTACAGATAGGCGATAGCAGTATTATATCTCTGGCTGCTTATTTTCAACTGCTGTGTTTGGCCGCTAAAAACCAATACAAATCTTTACATTGCTTTCAATTCACACAGAAGCTCCACTTCACTGATGCCTTTCTTTAAGGTTTCTCTAAACATGAGCTGTGTATGCTTGTATGGCACTTCCGTCCCGAGCAGCACACACAGAGGAAATCAGCCAGGACTGAGTCCCCAGACACTGATCCCCTGGGTTTATTATCCCCAAATGTTCATTAACAAAAAACGAAACACAGCCGCTCAGTTTCACAGGTAATTTTAGGATACCGTCAATCACAGATTCTGGTAAGGCAATGTCCAAATGTATATTTGAAAATCACACTTACCAGGTCTGAAGATTTGTTGGTATCCTGCCGACAACGCCAAATTGTAAGGGAAACTTCTGTGTAGCAATGCAGTGGGAGTCACCGACTAAGGAAGGAGACACGGTAGGAGCAGGAGCTTTGATGTCAAACACTGGAGGTTTATTTGGAGTTACGGCCGGAGGATTCACATCACAAGTCACAGCAGCCTCGGTGATACTGCACGGGTGGGTTGTCACGTCAATTCTGGAGCGCCTCTCTCTTGTTAGCCCATTTAACTGGTTTCACAGAGAGTAATCAACATATTTTGATAAGATAGCTTTAGACAGTTGGGCACACTGAGTCACTTGCGTCCGTCACCCATGGCCTCGAAGATGTCATACCTTGGAGTCCATAAGCAATAAAGAAGGAAGTGTCCCAGTGCACCCACAACAACAGACCATCTGTGACCTAGTGTTGACCGGTCACAGAATGGGAACAATAACATTATGGCTCAAGCAGCCTATGTCCTTAAAGGAGATAAACAGACGTCAGGGTTGGTCCTGTACGTCATATCTAGGAGTCTAGGACAATTATTTCCCTAACAGCGGGTACTGTTTATGTGCGTGGGGAATGTTGTAGTACAAAATTCAACTGTAGCGACCGGTACATTAATGGGAAACCCTAAATGTTTGAGCACCCTCTATGAAACGTCAAGCTACCCTACAGCACCCTCAAAAGAAAATCTCTGGCGCTGCCACTGAGCCTGCAACCCCGTTTTGAAGAAATGTGCTGTGCAAAATAGGCTCATTGCAGCCACTAATGCTGTGATAAGACAATTTGCCAAATATCAGCATTTTCTTTCTTTTAATGTTTTTGCACAGATTGCAAAGTGGAAAAGTATTATAACTTATTGTTCTAGCAAAGGGATTGCACAATTGTATTTATTTTTTTGAGCACACAGACTTATGGAGCATTGTTTTATTATCACTGTTCTAGTGATTTTTTTTTTTTTTTTAAAGGAATGCTCACGTTCATATTGATGTATTTTAATAAATGTTAACTTGGCCCATTACGTGACTATTTGTGTTGGGGGGGCCCGACTTCTTTTTTCTCCAAAGGGGGGCCTGACGGAAAAAGTTTGAGAACCACTGGCTTAGAGTGTCCAATTTTTGCATTGCTTTGTTCTCTTGACATATTGCATCTAGCCCTATACCATCCCGCTTCGACATAAGTCTTAAAACCTTTGTGTGAAAAGGGTTTTACGGGATTTAGCTAAGAACAACACTTAAACCAAAATTGCAGACATTGTGGTGAAATTTAAAGTGAAATTAAAGTTTGAATCATTTTCATGGCCAAGTATAATCACAAAATTGTTGTAATGTAATTGACCCTCAGTGAGTGTAAGTATTTAGTGTTACTTATACACAGAGTATGTTTATTTCTGTCCTTTAATGTTAATTATGCTTCTACTTCACAGACCTACAGTGTGGATAAGCAGGTAGCAGACAGCGCTAGCACGGCAACAGCCTATCACTGTGGAGTAAAAGCCAACGTTAAAACAGTGGGGCTCAGCGCTAACGCAGTGGCCTACGAGTGTAACACCACCTTCGGGAATGAAGTCTACTCAGTGCTACGGCGTGCTAAAGCACAAGGTAAAGGTCTAATTGTCTTGGCTCATTATAATGTGTGTTTTTGTATTGGAAAAGGCCAGAGGTTTTAATTACATTCCTATCTCAAGAAATGCCTTGATCATATCTGCCATAAAACAAAAGAGGAATAAATCAATCAACTGATAAGCCTGTTACTCATTGCTTACTACTGGCTACTTAAGCGTCACCAGCTATAGTTCAATGTTCTGAATAGTCTAATAAAGAGATCACATTGACCTTTATAATTGGGTTTATAGTCATGTATATCATATGCACACGGTATATTATACATGCACAACTTTATATGTATCAAAACTTGTTTATCATTCATGTTTGAGGATTATTTCATTTCCATTATTAGAAAATGTATACCCATTCTTTCTAGCAAAAAGATAAATGTATTCAAAAGAACTTCCCATAAAGCAATACATCTTAACCCTACAACGCTTCAAGGTTTCTAGGACTTTACTGATGATATGAGCCAGAAAAAAAGTCAAATTTAAAGGGCAAGTTAACTGGGATCTTAATTAAATTATTACTAATAAGACCATCAATCACAAAACATAATGTACAACAAAGAAAATCACCATATTAGACTGCTATGACTCAGCAGCTCTAACAATCAAAGCAAGTGGTCCAGAAAATGTAGCTCGTTGCTGCCGAAACCAGGGATTGAACCAGGGACCTTTTGATCTCCAGTCTAACACCTCCCAACTGAGCTATTTTGGCACATAATGTCCTCAAATCTTGGCGTTTTGGTGGAAGACAAAACAGCATTTTGTAATAATGCCACATCCTACAAAAGTACAACCTTCAACTAATACTAGAGGGCTGTTGGGCATTCACAATGTAAAAAGCAGTGATTTCATGTTTTCACTCATTCATTCTGTAGTTAAACGCTTTTCTAAGGAGCAATTACTCCTATTGTTAACTGGAACCTGCACTTGATTACTTCCAACTGCCAGGAAGGATTGCATCACTGTGGTTACTTAATATGAACTGAGCCAGTGCCATTATTTCTTCCTCTAGAGCAGCTCAATGTCCAATAAAATGTTAAATGACTTACCAATGCTCTAAATGTCATTTGTAAGTTGTTTATTCTGTGTTGTTTCTGCATTGTCCAGGTAAATCAGTTGGTGTAGTGACCACCACACGCGTCCAGCATGCCTCCCCGGCAGCAGCTTATGCCCACTCTGTCAGCCGAAGTTGGTACAGTGACGCAGATATTCCTTCAGGCGCTCGCCAACAGGGGTGCGTCGACATTGCCACCCAACTCGTCACCAATGTTGATATTGATGTATGTAAGCACAATTGTGATTTAAACAGCTTAAAGGTCCCCTATTATACTGTTTTTCATCAATATATCATAGGTCTCAGATATATACAAAACATGTCTCTGAAGTGTTTGGCTCCAAATACCAAACAGATCATGCATTGTAGCATCCCATAATCCCCTCTGTTTCAGCCCTTTTTCAAGAGGGGGGGGGGGTCATTGGTTATAGAATAAAGTGGCCAAAATCTGATCAGCTCATTTTCAGACAGGTTTTTATATAAATGGATCAGGACAGAAAGAGAGGGGGTATTTTTTCCTGAAACTTTCGGAATCTCTTTACACAGAGGGAACACATATTTATGTGTAAAAGACATGAACAAATTGATTTTACATAATAGGTGACCTTTAATAATTATACCCTTATCATCTTAATCCTCAGGACCCATAACTAGGTTTTCAAAAGTTAGGTGAATGAAGTTAAATCTAGAAAATCAGCAATGCTGTTTATCCAGTGTGCTCTATTGTTATGGCAGGATTATTCTTTACAATGAACATCATATGCAAAAAAAAAAAGTATAATGATCCCATTCTGACAATCCATTAAAGGTAATTCTTGGGGGAGGCAGGATGTATATGACACCAAAAGGCACTGCAGACCCCGAGTACCCTACCTCCAACTCTCGAAAGGGGGACCGCAAAGACAAAAGGAACCTCATTGATGTGTGGCTAAAGGCTAAACCAGTAGGTTATTAAACATTTATTTGGGATATTTCCACATATTTTAACATATGAGTCAAGGGTTTAAAGTGTCTCTGATTTGTTTTTCAGAAAAAGAAGTCACACTATGTATGGCACAGGAAGGAGTTTGATGAGATTAATGTTAAAACTACTGACAGGCTAATGGGTAAGTACTGTTTATCCGTCAACACTGACAGGAAAGAAAAAACATAATACACAACAATGCACACACAACATACACATTCTGACCCATAACGTACTTCTCAGGCGTTAACAGATAAACGTCTTATCTGAGTTCACGAAACCTTCTCAGTGGCTCAGAAACAAGAGGATTTCAATTACTGTTAATCACTTCTCCATCTTTACAGCCGTATGATGTAGTTATGACTGCAGTAAACAATTACAGTTAGCAGGTAAAATCACCCCTAACTACAGTGATACTTAACGAAAGGGCGTTTTTTGTTGTAATGATGCGCATGACAGTATGTCTTGCCAGTTATATTGCTTTCATGTATGTGTTACAGAAACATGTTTATTGCCTGTAATCTTTACAGGATACAAATGTGCTTCTACATACTTCCTTAATGGCAGCAATAGATATTATTGTTTTTCTTATTAGCATCATCAGAGTATGTTTCTAATCAATGGGAAAGCTTTTCTGAATATGTTGTATTGTCTTATCAGCACCTCCTCTATCAACCCTCCAAAAACAGAAGTAATACATTTAATTTATGATTTGTTCTTTTTGGGGGTTCCAGGTCTGTTTGAGCCAAAGGACATGCGATTCGAGGTTTTTCGGAACAGAACACGGGACCCCTCCATCGTGGAGATGACGGAGAAAGCCATACAAATCCTCAGCAAGAATCCCAAAGGATACTTCCTGTTTGTGGAAGATGAGTGCTATATCTAAAATCCTTCCAACTTATCCATATCATTTTGAATAATGTTAAGAAAAAGCTATATATAACATAATCATACAGGAAATGTGGACTAAGTCTGTTATAGGTGTGTCGTCAGATGTTTTGTGCCAGGTCTTATTTATCCGTTTTGTGTTGCTCTGTTACGAGGAAGAATTGATCACGGCCACCATGACGGCATTGCCAAACTGGCCCTGACAGAAGCTGTGATGTTCGACCGAGCCATTCAGCACGCTGCACATCTAACCAGGGAATCTGATACTCTCACCGTGGTCACTGCTGACCACTCCCACGTCTTCACCTTTGGAGGAAACACACCTCGAGGGAATCCCATCTTCGGTATGGTCCAAAGCACAAAGACGTGACTGCAGTCCAGATCATTAAGGTTATATACGAGGGCACATAAAAAGTGTGAAAAAAAAAAAAAGAGAGTAACAAAGTGGATTTGATAATAAATACCATATGTGGAAAATAGGCCTAGAATAAATGTTTAGACATTCATGAATGAGGTTTTATATTAAAGATTCAAGACTGTTCACACAACAAGTTCAAAGCATTCAATTGTACAATTGTCTCACGAAATACATTTTGAGTGCTCGTTTTGCCTCTCAGTGAAAAGAAAATGTGAATGATGTTTTTGTATTGACCCTTTGTCTTTCAGGCCTGGCACCAAAGAGAGCCGATGACAAAATGCCTTTCACCAGCATACTGTATGCCAACGGCCCTGGTTATGTTCATATAAATGGAACCAGAGGGAACATCACAATGGTGGATTACCGTAAGTACAAACCTGTGGTACAAACTAATGTCTTTCAGATGTGTCTGTGCTGACGTGTAGAGACAGCATGAACTCATGTGGTTACGGCTGACTCATACCCATGTTTTTCTCTGGAATGGGAAGATGGATATAATATTTATGATAGTGACTGTAATGTCTTCTCCTCCGTTCTCTCAACAGGCCTCATTGTTTACAGTACATGTAACTGTGCTTAAAAATAGCTATTTGTATTTCTTTGTGGAACACTGGACAGCAATGATCCAGTTCCTCCTCCACTTGTTCTGCACCATTCACTTTAATCATTGCATGAGTGTGCATTGAAGGTGGAAATACTTACAGGAATGATTTACCTTTTAAAATCCACAATTTTGTATTTTTGAATGGACTGTTTAATATATGTCTTCCTGGTCGAATGTACTTATTGTAAGTCGCTTTGGATAAAAGCGTCAGCTAAATGCAATGTAATGTAATGTAATATATGTGTCTCAAAAGTACACACTCAACCCATTTGGCACCCTAAGTAAACATGCAATTACAAGTGAGACATTCATTTCTAAAACTTTAAGTATCCATCTGGAGAAAAATGAAGCAATTTAAAAGACAGCATTTATATTCTGATTAAAACCATAAGGCCAAAACACTATTGCAATTTTTTTTAAAGAAGTTGATGTGGTTAGACAATACATTAATGTTTTCCAACATAGTTTTGGCAATGAGAAATTCACAAAACTGCAAAATGACCTTTCATCTAGAGCACACCAATGATTACACTTTGTTTGCATAAAAAAAAGTTCTGGAATCTGTCTGTACACTTTAGAAAGATCAGGCAGTAAATGCTGTCATTTAAGTAAATAACTTAAACAACGTTCTTGGTTTTTAAAATGTTGTAATTCAAATGTAATTAGGTAATTAGGTAAATTACAGAAGATTTTAAGACACACAAGTTATGGGCAACAGCCAAAGGTGAATGCAATCTTAAAACTATTCCAAGGTGCCCTGTGGGTGGTATTTGAATGACAAACAAAGGGAATCCAGTGCTTAAAAGCTAACAGTGACATGGGTTGCTAAGGCATTCTCTGACATCATATTTGTGGTGACATAAAAGCATCTGTGTGGTATTAACAGTTGATGATCCAAGCAGAGAGTTGCTTGAAACAGTGCTTTGTTACAAATTTCTCTCCAGATGATGAGGAGTACATGCAGCAGGCTGCCGTCCCGTTGGATTCTGAGACGCACGGCGGGGAGGATGTGGCCATCTATGCCAAAGGCCCAATGGCTCACCTGTTCCATGGAGTGAAAGAGCAGAACTACGTGGCACATGTCATGGCCTACGCTGCCTGCTTAGAGCCCTACACAGACTGCCCCCCTCATCCCCACAGCCGCACCTCAAGCAGCTGCGTAAACACAACCTCTAGCCTCTTGTTTGGCCTGCTTACCCTCCTTTGGTTACTCAGATGACCCCATAAACACATTGCATCGACACAACACAAAGGTCACAAATACGATGTATGCATGCAGCAATCAGACACTTAATGCACTAAACATTGATACATGAGAACATGCGCACACAACGACTATATGCATTCAGGTCAGATTGCAGGGATAGACATAATTATGCAATGCCGTATGTGTACAAATATAACCTCATACATCCTGATCACAAAGTGTACATTCAAATGAGCATGTATTCAAGAGAAAATCCAAATCCAGGTGCATGTAGTAACAAACAGGCAGGGTAGAACATAAACAAATATGCAAACAACTCTTTAAGATACAGTCCATGCAACGGTCGCTATTACAGAGCTGTCTGTATTTACTTCAAAAGGACTATTTAAAACCTACTAATGACTACTAACTTGCACTAACTAGTTTTAGTTAGTTAAATTTCAGTTGTCTTCTTGTTTTCCAAAGTTAGATACTGCTTGATCAGAGCTATTAAACATGTACGAGGAGCTGCTTACACATCCTTTTTACACCTCTGAGGATTTACAAGGAATAACTTGAAACAAACAAGCACACTGAGGGCTCACTGTTCAGCTTGTGGACATTAAGAAAGTACACACAGATGTTGATCTTTATGGCTGTGACTGTGTGGATGGAATAAATGACTATATGATGATATCAGAAACCTGAACTACAGCCATCGTGCCATGACAAGCTGCGACACCAACAGACCTTACACGAATCATGAAGATGCTGCATGATTGAGAAACATGTAGCTATTCGTTTTTAGTATATATTTGATCAAGTTTGTATCTTGACCTCCATAAAGTCAATCTGTTCTCTTTCCAGGTCACTTGATATTTAATCTATTTAGATTGTACATGAATGTATTTTGTAAGCAAAACTTTTGTCAATGTATTTTTATACTGTGTTTTTTGCAAATGTTACTTAAATAAGGATGAAAACATTCATGCGTTCTTGAGTCACAATTATTTGATGGCAATTATTTAAGGTAACACCTCATTTATAGGGCCCTTAGTTGCATAAATGCCTACAGAGCAACTGATACAGTATTTGGGACATTTTATGAAAAGGGTTTACTATTTTCTTTACATAAATATTTCAGGATCAAATAAAAAAATACTTGACAAAATTAAGTTGAATGTAAGCATTACACAATGCAGAGACTTTGGTTTCTATGCATCAATCAATGCAAACATCTGACTAGCAGATTTACACAATTGTGAGGAGATCTGTTAGAATATGATTGTCACACAGTATCTCTCATACAAACTAAGATGGTCTGTTTCCAAAATCAGATACATGGCCTCAGAGGAGTAAAGTGCATTTTACCATCAATTGATACACTGAGTACACAAATCGAAGCCTGTGACTATTCAGTAAGGCAAGGCAAGGCAAGGCAAGTTTATTTATATAGCACTTTTCAACACAAGGCAATTCAAAGTGCTTTACAAAAAATGAAAGAGATTAAGAAAATGGCATTTAAAATCAGTCATTAAAAAGAAAAGCTAATAAAATAAACATTAAAAGAAAAAATACATGGATAAAAGTTACAGTGCTGTCAATTAAACATTAAAAGAAAAAAGTACATGGATAAAAGTTACAGTGCAGTCTAAGATATGAATAGTTCAATTAAAAGCAGCGACAAAAAGAAAAGTCTTCAGTCTGGATTTAAAAGTAGTCAGAGTTGCAGCGGACCTGCAGGTTTCTGGGAGTTTGTTCCAGATATTTGGAGCATAATAACTGAACGCTGCTTTACCATGTTTAGTTCTGACTCTGGGGACAGAAAGCTGACCAGTCCCTGAAGACCTGAGAGATCTGGATGGTTCATAATTTAGCAGGAGGTCAGAAATGTATTTTGGGCCTAAACCATTCAGTGCTTTATAAACCAGCAGCAGTATTTTGAAATCTATTCTTTGACACACAGGAAGCCAGTGTAAAGACTTCAGAACTGGAGTGATGTGATCCACTTTCTTAGTGTTAGTGAGGACTCGAGCAGCAGCGTTCTGAATTAGCTGCAGTTTCCTAATAGATTTTTTAGTGAGACCTGTGAAGACACCATTGCAGTAGTCGAGTCTACTGAAGATAAAAGCATGGACAAGTTTTTCCAAATCCTGCTGTGACATTAGTCTTTTAATCCTAGATATATTCGTTAGGTGATAGTAGGCTGATTTAGTAACCGTTTTAATGTGACTGTTGAAACTCAGGTCAGAGTCCATGACTACACCTAGATTTCTGGCTTTATCTGTTGTTTTGAACATTGCACACTGAAGCTCAGCGCTAACTTTTATACGTTCTGACTTGGCTCCAAAAACCATTACCTCAGTTTTATCTTTGTTTAATTGGAGAAAGTTCTGACACATCCAGTCATTGATTTGTTCAATGCACTTACTCAGTGTTTGAATTGGAGCATAGTCTCCTGGTGAAATTGTTACGTAAATTTGTGTGTCATCTGCATAGCTATGGTAACTTATTTTGTTGTTCTTCATTATCTGAGCCAGTGGTAGCATGTAGATGTTAAAGAGAAGAGGCCCCAAGATGGAGCCTTGAGGAACCCCACATGTCATATTTGTCAACTCAGATGTGTATTTACCTATAGAAACAAAGTTGTTTCTGTCCTTTAAGTAGGATTCAAACCAATTCAGAACTGTTTCCGAAAGTCCCACCCAGTTCTCCAGTCGGTCTAGTAATATGCTGTGGTCAACAGTGTCAAACGCAGCACTGAGATCTAATAATACTAACACTGAAGTTCTGCCACTGTCTGTGTTTAAGTGGATGTCATTAAAGACCTTTACAAGAGCAGTCTCAGTGCTGTGGTTTGGACGAAAGCCTGACTGGAACACATCAAAACAGTTATTTAAATGCAAGAAATTACTCAACTGTTGAAAAACAACTTTTTCAATGATTTTACCTAGAAATGGCAGGTTTGATATGGGCCTGTAATTGTTCATTACTGAAGCATCTAGATTATTCTTTTTTAAGAGCGGTTTAATGACTGCAGTTTTCAGGGCCTGTGGAAAAATACCTGAGTGAAGAGATTTGTTTACTATATGAAGTAGATCTGAGGCCATGCAAGGCAAAACATCTTTGAAAAATCCTGTTGGAATAATATCAAGGCAGCAAGAGGAGGATTTCAGAAGTTGAATAATGTCCTCTAGGTTTTTATCATTAATCTGATGGAATTGTGTCATGATGTCTGAATTGATGTTAAGTGGAGATAGGGACAACACATTTGCTGTTCCTGATGCAGAGGCACTGACTGCTTGTCTGATTTTCTGAATTTTGTCAGGAGGCAAAATCATTGCACGCCCTGGTGGATAGAAATTCAGAGGCTACTGACACTTAGTTAGTCTGTCGACGGTAGCAAACAAGGCACGTGCGTTGTTTTTGTTTTTGGTAATGATGTCAGAGAAGAACGATTGTCGTGCGTTTTTCAATTCCAAATTTTAAAGGCCAAGTCTCTCTTTATAGATTTCAAAGTGAACCTGGAGATTTGTTTTTCGCCACCTGCGTTCAGCTTTTCGACATTCTCTTTTTTCTCTTTTCACGGTCATGGCCTTTCTCCATGGAGATATTTTCTTGCCAGACACTTCCTTTACCTTAGTTGGAGCAATGGCATCTATAACATTTTTAATTTTTGAATTAAAATGATCTACTAGCTCATTTACTGAGATGTTGGCAGGGGCAAGTGTGGAAGAGAAATTCTGAGTAAACATTTCCCTAGTATTTTCAGTTAAATATCGCTTTGTGGTTACCTCTTTTTGAACATTTTTGTGAACAGAAATAGAGCTCTCAAAGAAAACACAGGAATGGTCAGAGAGTGCAACATCAGTCACCACAACCTTAGAGATATTCAGACCCTTTGAGATAATTAAGTCCAGAGTGTGCCCCTTATTGTGCGTGGGCTCCGTCACATGCTGAGTCAGTCCATAGCTATCAAGAACACAAAACAGTTCTTTAGCCCCTCTGTCCTGGGGGTTGTCAACATGGATGTTAAAATCACCAACAATGACTAGACGGTCAAAGTCAATACACACTATAGACAGCAGTTCAGTAAAGTCATCAAAGAAGCTTGCACAGTATTTGGGTGGTCTATAGATATTTAGGAACAGAGCTCGAGAGGAGCATTTCAGCCGAAGGGCCACATATTCAAAAGAATCAAAGTTTCCATACGATGTCTTCCTGCATTGAAGAGAATCATTGAACAGAATAGCAACTCCACCCCCTTTCTTATGCATTCTTTCCTGACTCATAAAACTAAAGTTGGGAGGGGTTGATTCGATAAGAACAGCTGCACTGTTATTTTGTTCAATCCAAGTTTCTGTTAAAAACATAAAATCGAGATTGTGCTCAGTGATTAAATCATTGATTAAAAATGTTTTTCCTGCCAAAGACCTGACATTTAATAAAGCTAGTTTAAGTTTGTTAAACACACTATCAGTCATGTTTTTTGTAACAAGCTGTGGCTGACATGGAATCACTGCTAAATTAGATACACTCACACAAACGTTTGAGCGCTTCCTGTTTCTATGATTCACCGCTCTTAATCTATTACCTATCAACACAGATATCGGCAAAGCTACTGGCAGGCAGGGCCCCGACATGTCCTGGAAAGAGTTGAGAGTGCCATACGCCCTTGAGCCTGGACCCATCACATATCAGTAAGAGTTTGTTGTGTTTTGTACACACACATCCTTATCAGGCTTCGGAGACTGCAGATGCCCCCTCGAAGGGAGGGGAGGTGGTCGACGTAGGCACGTGATGGAGACGGGCTAGATGGTGCGGGGGTAGAGGACATGCTGCCAGGGGGGGGAGGTGGTTGACGTAGGCGCAGTGATGAGGACGGGGGAGATGGTGCGCGTCTCCGCGGTGATTTTGGTGGGCGTCGTTGAGGAGCGGGGGTAAAGGACATGGTGCCAGCCCTGCGTATCGCCTTCGTTTGGTCTTTGAACTCCAGGAAGGAATCGGTGCCAACCCTCTGTATCTCCTTTGTGTGTTCATCGATCTCCAGGAGGGTGGGCGAGGGTGAAAGGGTGAACGGAGTATCCTGAAAGGCGTTGACAGGGGGGGGGGGGGCAGTGGAGACTCCTCCATGTGTCTCATATGTCTCCCATAATCAGAACATTCCTCAGGCGGGTGCAGTGATAATTCTTCAGGGTTTTCTGCGTGATGTGTTGTGTCTTTCTCGTGTTTTGATTCCTCTTGCCGCTTGTCCTTGGCAGAGGGAACAGATTGATGACGCAGGCAGTTGAATATGTTAGAGATAAACAATTTCACTCCTGACTTGTTCAGGCAAACTCCATTTGCCTTGAAAAGATGTCTGCGATCCCAGAAAAAGTTAAAATTGTCAATAAAATGAACAGAATGGTCAGTACAGGCCGTTGAAAGCCAGGTGTTCAGTGCAAACAATCTGCTGAATCTCTCCACTCCTCTTCTGACTGGCGGTAGAGGGCCACTGATGAACACCTCTGCATTTAGAGAGCTGGCAGTTTCCAACAAACATTTAAAGTCTTCTTTCAGCACTTCTGACTGTTGTTTCACAACATCATTTGTTCCAATGTGCAGTACCACATTCTTCACAATCGGATGTTCAGCCCCAATATGCAGGATCTTCTCAGCCAAGTCAGAGACCACATCCTTGGGAAAACAGAGTACTTTGGTGTTGTTCTTATTACACAGACCTTTTACATCTCTTACAGCAGAGTCACCCACAATCAGAGTTTCAGGCCCAGTCGTTAGCTTTCCCTCTAGCCTTTTACTTTTAGAGTAGCTATTGGTCCTTACCCTGCTGCGTGAAGAGGACAGGTTATCCAGGTCATCAGATCTCCGGTTCTCGGTCAGCGGAGCGTATCTGTTCTGGATTGGCACACTTGGTGGTTTAGG